CTAATAATTTTTTAATACTATTAGTTTGTGATACATAATATATTATTTTTTCTGCCATAATAACTAACTTTTTTCTGTACCCCTAAACAACCTATCGTGTACCCCTAGGGGTACGCGTACCACAGGTTGGGAATCGCTGTACTAAGTGATTAAAATATATTAGCTCCAAAAATAACAAGTTAAAACAATTACATTAATTTAATATTATAAACTAATAATAAAAATGTTAAATATTTCTCTGAAAAAATCTTACTTCTTTATAATTTAAAATATTATTTCATTCACTTACAAAAGCTGGACCACTACCACTCAATCCACCAATTGCATCCATTTGGTCCTCATGAATTTCTTCACATAAACCAACAGTTTCTAATAACTTCTTAATCATTTTAACAACAGATTCAGATATAGAAGCCCCTCTTGAAATAGCACAAGCTCCAGCAAGAACTGATGATGATACATTTGGCATGGAACGTATTATTTTAGTCTGAGGAGGAGTGTTCTAAAAAATCAAAATCTTTGAAATTATTAAACGTATCTAAATATCATTAAAATTAAGTTTATTTGAAAATACCTCTTCTAAATATTTAATAGTTTTTCCACTAATAACTGATACTATTATATGACTTCTTTTCCAATAACTATAAAGCTGCTCCAGTACAACTTGTGTAAGATGTGGTTTGACACAAAGAAAGATAATTGTACAATTAACAAGAACATCATAATTTGAATGAGTCACATTGCAATTCATTTCCTGAAAGTATAAATTAATATAACATTCATATATACTGAAACATATCAATTAAAGCAGTGATGAACAATCATTTCTGGATGTGGGTTGCAAGTGAACTTCATATGCTTCTGACAGACCACATGCAGTTTTTTCTTATGGAGTTACAAGCTTTAACCTTCTTAGTACCAACATACACTATGCCAATATATTAGATATTAAAATAATATGCACTAACAATATGCAAATTGGTAATATATAGTTTATTCTCATTTTTTTACTGATAGAGTTTAGTTTCAATGTTCTCCATCATGAAAATCAACTTAATTAGGGTTATGTAATGGCATGAGGCAAAAAATGAAAAATAAAATTATATTGCCAAAGCCCCTGGGGCTGCATATTAGAACCTCACGGGCTGTATGTGTGCCATATGTTGTTCATCACTGAATTAAAGAATTTCTATAATTTCTGCAGTTAATGTAAAAATAATGTCCCTATACATAATATATACAGTCAATAACAGTTTCTTTTAATAAATTTGTGTATTAATAAAATTTAATAATGCATCATCATTGTCATCATCATCATATTGTCATTCCATTAAATCTAATGACAAATAATAAATAATTTTATAAATTTTATTAAANAACACTTATTTTTCTTATAAAAAACAAGTCTTATTTAAAAAAAAAATTTTTCTTTTTCAATTTTATTACATTTAACAGGTTAAATGTTAAACTAATAGTGTTATATGCTATAAATGCAATAATGTTATTGTAACCTTTTACATTTCATCAAGAGTTTCATATGTTTTAATAGTTTAATTTTGTAATGCATCATCAATTAGTTTTAGAATTTTGTTGTGAGTCAATGATTTTAATCTTTATTCAAACCATTAATGTTCTTTTGTTTTAACTTGTAAGTGGAGTTTAAAAATCAACAAATAAATCACTCCCTTTCAAGTTATCTTTGAAACACAAAATTATTATACATTCTTAATCATAAAAAGAAGTACAATAGAATTCCTTACCAAAGCAGTTTGAGCTGCATATTTAATAGCAATTGATTTTGGAATACCCATCTTAACTGCACCATCAGCCATACTTTGAATGATAGTAAAAATCTAAGAAAAAAATGAGTATTTAATTAATATCAATATTTGAAGTCTTTGCTTTTCTTTTAAAATTTAAGATAATAAATGTAGTTTAATCCTACATTTATTAAAACATCCTCATAATTTCATATTGGAACAATTAACATTAGAATAGTTCCAAAATTAAAACATAAATTAAGTAAAATAGAAAATAAAGAAAAATATGGAAATGGATAATATAGTGTACAGATTACAATGTATTTGCCAAAATCCTGTATGTTACTTTGCAAGAGACAAAATTCAAAATTAGGTTTACAGAACATATTACAGCTATACAACAAAACTAAAAAGCCTGCAACTACATTAGCTTATAACACAGTTGTAATATAATAATAATAAAAGAAACTGCCATACTAAAATAATATGCATTAAGAAGGAAATGCTGGTACATATAAAATTTATTAATATTAGGAATGAAATGAATTCATGACAACTTGAATTTGAATAAATATTAGCATAAATACAGGTATACCTCAACTTATGTCGTTTCGAGTTACATTGTTCCCGATTATACGTTATTTGTCAAAAAAGTATATGGAAAAATAAAAATCAAGTTTAAGTCATTTTATTCAACTTTACGTCTGTCCGCCACAAATATTGAAGTCGTAATATCACTAGAAAAGCGTTTAAAGCACATAAAATCATATTAAAATATATACAAGTATGTACTGTATTTACAGNGAAAACACCAATAATGAGTACTTAAAGACCGCTAAATAAGACGACAACACAGAAACACAGATGTTTTCATGTTTCGTTCTCTAGGATTTATATTAACATTTACTGTAAATGTACATATTTTTAAATGATTTTATGTGCTTTAACGCTTTTCTAGTGATATTATGACTTCAATATTTGTGGTGGATGGACGTAAAAAATAAAATGACTTAAACTTGATTTTTATTTTTCCATATACTTTTTTGACAAACGATGTATAATCGAGAACGATGTAACTTGAGATATACCTGTACTTTGTTTTTAATTAATTTCAAAATTTATATATAAAATTAAAATTTTTATCAAACAAACACAGTAAAACCTTGATTTAACAGACTAATTTGGGTAAGGAGCCAAAAGTCAAAGCTAAAAGTCAGTTATGCACTAAAGTAGGTTTTCTGAGTGCATGTTAAAAAATTGACAAATTAGTTTATTTGCATTTACTTTTGTAGATACACTTGTATAATTCAAATTAAGTATGCATGAGAAGTTTAATTTCACAGAAAAGTTTTCTATATATATTATTGCATATACACTCACCATAGTTCTGAGACTAGTAAACATGTATACAATCTAAATTAAAATAAATAAACAAATCTTTTTTGAATATGATTTATCCATCTGCTTCTATTCCAATTTTCTTCTTTTTTAAATTTCAATATGCAACCAGTTCAGACACTTATTTTCTAGGAATTATCACATCCATAGACATCTGGGCTTAGTCTCAAGTTTTTCATGTTGTACTCGAATTGACGTCATTCAACTCACTTGTGTTACTATGACTCACATAATCAGTAGTCTCAAGTTAAACCTGTCGAGTGAACTCGAAAAGCGAGAGGAAATATGTCATACTTGGTTTCATATGCCGTTAAGCATGATGGGATTATTTACAATGCATCTGGGTTTGCGACTATAATGATTCGACAAATCAACTTAACTGTAACAAGTTTTAAACAAATCCACATGAATTAGTTTGCACATGTTAGTTAATTTTGTGTTACAGTGATATAGGCCACATAAAGAAAATGGAGATCTCCAATGCTTTTAAAAAAATCAGTGATGAACAGAAATAAATATCAGTCACATACATTGAAAACAATAAGAAAATGAATTCTGGAAAATTTGACAATGAGTTTACTAGAAAAAAACAATTAGATATGTGGAAAGAATTAGTTCAAAAATTAAATATGAGCTTTAGAGCAAAAAAGTCTGTTGTGGAATGGAAAAAAATAAGTATTTTAATTTAATCCTTTCTTCAGTTTTCTTCCTTTATCTGATTCTTAAACTGTTCAATGAACTTAACACTTCTGATCAATAAATAATTTTAATATAATGTCTATGCTTTTAATAATTTATACATATAATTTACTATAATTTTAATTCTCTTTTTTGATGAATTAGATACTTCTTTTCATTTTTGGAAAAATTTGCTGTATAATAATTTTATCAAATAAAATTTTTTTATTAGTGCTGGCTTGACATGAAGAGAAATGCAAAAGAGATGGCATTGAGAATAAAAAACAGTAGAGAAAAGACTGGGGGTGGTAAAGAATCGAATGAAAAGTTATCTTCTTTATAAGAAAGAATTTTTTTCTATAATGATATATATAGTGGTTTTGGGGCAACAAAATTCTGTGGAATCAGAAGTTGAAGAATTTTCAAACATATTGCAGACTGAGGTGAATAATAATCTTAAAATTTAAAATGAATAAAGAATAACATGTTTTAAAAAATGTTATACTTCATTATTTTTCTGTATAGAATGGACAGTATTAAATAATAAGTTTTTGAAATTTCTATCAGTACAGTACTACTACTATCTCTGTTCATATTTTAAAAATGTAATTTATTATTATAATAGGAATCTATAGCACTGCCAGAAATTGAAAGTATCATTGTGATAGGAATATATTTTATTTCTGATTCTGAAAAGGGTTAGTATGCATCAAAATAAATAATCTCAAATACAAAGTAATTATAACACAAAAATTTGTTATGGTTTTCAAATGTTTTCAATTTATCTAACAGATAGTGAAAATACAGGTTTATCAAAAGGAGTGTGAGTGTAAGTAAATTTTTAAAATATTTTCAAATTACTTCATTAAAGCAACTGTAGCATTAATTATAAGAACTGAATTTATAGAATCTGTTATAAATGAACTGCATAGTATTAAGTCATATTAATATACAAAGTTATAAGATTTAGTGTAAAAGAATTAATTTTATAGTCAGCATGTACAAAGACTAAGTTTTCCATGTGAATTTATGTTTTGTAGTAAAAAGAAGAAAAAGAAAACACATTTCCGCTGAACAATAATTAAGTGAAGCAAAGAAAAGAACAGATTCATTTATTCAACTAGAACAGGAAAAAATTAAATTGAAGAAAAAAGAACTGGAGTTGAGGGAGAAAGAACTTTCCATATCTGAGGAAAACAGAGACTCACTTTAAAAAATTGCAACAGCATTAACCACTATTTTTGATATATTATCCCAAAATAATTTATAATATTTGAGAAAATATATTATTTTTATGTATATGTTTAGAATAATTATTTATTTTCAAATTAAATTTGTTTTTCAGGTACTGATTTTTCTGTTCTTCTTTATATCTGAATATTCTTGAAAAAGACAGGCTCTTAACAGGTGTGTGTGTATATACACACATACACACACAATTTATTAGTATACATGTTACTATGAAAGACATATCTGGCAATGTTCAGATTCTTTGGTGAATGTCAGCATTCACACAGTCATTTCGTGTATGTACAAAATATTTGCTAAATATCATTATTTCTCACTTACACTGGCAAATGTCAACATTCATCATGCACTGATGGTGAATGTTGAATAAAAATATTTTTATTACATTAAGACAAAAATGCAACTTTTTAATATGTCAAGATAAGAGAAAACTTAAGTAACAGCACATAAATTGTTGAACCTAAAATGAATGGTACATTCTTAATCAGAAAAGAAAAATAATACACAATAGTAAACTTACACATATATTATGTGATTGACATTATACAATCTTATTTATTGCAACAACTTAACTGTTATGACATTTTGAATTGCACAAGAATCCCTTGCTTTTACAACTGCATTTATTCGTGGAACACTTCTTTTTGCAATGACAGCATGCATAGCCTTG